CTTTTGAAAATAAGTAATCAGTAAAGTAACGGGATTACTTTTTTGGGGAAGTAATCAGTAATTAGTAACTGATTACTTTTTTCAAGTAACTTGACCAACACTGTTTAAAACTGACTAAATGTATATTTTGGACCGTACTATTACTTGTTTCCTGGGAGAATTTTAATCCAAAGGATGCAGATTTACTTTTGTTACTGAAAAAGATGCAAACACTGACGCACTGGGACGCAGCAGGAACGCAGGTCTAATCTCGACCTCTATCACACATGTTCGATACCTATGCAGCGCCTCTATGCTGCTGTTTTTTCCCACAGTGCCGACTGTCTGCTATAAAGAGATACTTTGGAGCAGGTCTACCTTTCTCCCACACACTATCCCTCACTTCAGTCCACTACCCAGACCAGTCGTAACTGCACAGACATCAGGGACCAGTAGTAAACTGGCCTCTGTGCACAGATGGAGACGTTCTCAGTCTAAACGCTATAAAGAAAAGGAGAGAGGACGAGTAAAGGGATGAGACGGGGGTCAAATCCAACAGAGAAATCAAAACATTTGTAGTTTATTATGGGAATTTTACTCCTTTCCTTCTCCGTGTACCCTCTTTCCAGCCTCCCTCCACCCCTCCATCACCCCTCTCCAGACTGGGCTTTCACTTTGGGGGGCCCTCAGCTTCCCTCTCGGCTGATCAGGGAGCTTTCAAGGTACCCTGATGGATGCTAATGCTGGACTCTTTCAGATCGTTTTACAGCCGGAGCCTTTGATCTGCCAGCAGGCCTCTCTCCATGGGCTGCCTGTCCTGAGAAAATGTAAATCCCCGCCTTACAGACACCTGTGAAAAAAATACAGCAGAAAGGGGTGGGGGAGGGGGGGCAGAAAAAGAAGTTACTCTAAAGAAAAGGGGGAAGAAAAGATACAGTATTGTGACATTTGGAAAAAGGGGGCATAGTTTAGATTGCAGCAGAGTGACAAAGAATGAGATGGAAATTGCAGCAAAAAGGGGACAGAGCTGCAGAGAAAAGAGAGAAACCGAAACATGGCGAGCAACAAAGACGGGAAAGAGGAATGGGGAACACAAAACAGAGGGACAGAGGGGACATGGATGGATGTAACTGAAAGAAAGGCAACAGCAAAAAAGAAGGAAAGTTAATCTAAAGGTCCCAGCGTGCACGACAGGAGAGAGAAAGCCCGATAAAAACAGCCGACTCAACGTCCGTAAATGCGGAGACAGATGGACAACATGACTTTGGGAGAAATAAAGAGAAAGACAGAAAGCGAGCTGAGCCCAGACAGACATACGAGGCACGCTGTGCAGCTCAAGGGGCGGATGTGTCTATGCAGTTGAAAATTTAGGAAGGAAGAAGTGAAAAAGAAAGTATGTTGAAGGGGACTCCGGTCAACAGAGACGGTGACAGCAGTGAAAGAGGCCTCGCTCATCAGCAGCAGCGGCGGCGGGGCTCTGAATAGCAGGGCTGCTGCTAGACAGCTGGGTGCAGCTGATCTTTGGAAAGACTGTGGAAGAGCGCTTGTCTTCCTCCAGCCAGCTGCTGTGTGCAGAGGCCCTCAGTGACAGCACAAGGCTCAGAATTGATTACCAGGGCTGGCAGTTCAATGGGGTGGATGGATGGAGTGCAGCGGGGTCGACTTCTCTGAGGTGGCGTGCACTGTACGAGCGCAGCTGCTGCTTACTGTAACCTTTTCCAAGAAACAAACAAACCTAAAGAAAAATGATGATTATTGTTCTGACGCTGTTTTTCTCTAAGCTTCGTCTTCCCTGCGAGACGGGCGTTTCTAGCACAGACGAGTCTCGGTACACAATAAGGTACAGAGACACGAGCTCGTCTCGTATGGCGTTCTGTGTGAGGCTCTAACCCTGCGTCTTGTGCTGAACGCTGACTTCTGTGAGACTTTCATTGTCTTATCAGGGGTCGAGATGGGAATGGGAGGTTAAATATACCCCCGCCGGCGCAGCTATAGTTCTATAGTTCGTACGGTGACCCGCACACCTCGCTGACTCGCGTCCGTCTTCCTGCTGAGATATCAAAACAGGAACGAT